CCTTCCCGCAATATTGCATCATAGACCACATAGACCAGGGGGTATCTGTTTTGGTTTGGGTGAATCGTATATCCACGGAGATTTTTGGCTTTATGGCTTTCAAATATCACTAGAAATGAAATTTTTTCTATGCGCATAAAAAAAAACGTGGGCTTAACTTTTGGCGGCACAATATGTAAAAAAAAATTGGAAAAATGACATATTTTTCTTCCTATTTAATTATGTATCTTTTTAAGAGTTTATTTTAGGCGAAAATAGAAGAGGAAAAAAATGTTTGTAATTAAATTTTTTACAAAACATGACTGGTTACAAATCGAATGAATCATGATTATTATGGTAAAAATCGAAAAAATCACAAAAATGTGGTTAAAAAACATTACTTTTTAGGGAATTTTTTTGGTGTATTTAAATAGGGTGTAGGACCTTTATACTTGGCTCAAGAAAACTTCATGTTATGTATAATCATCACACCAAATTTCATCAAAATCGGTTCGATAGATTTTGCATAATAATTTTGCAATCCATATTAAAAAAAAATACAAATTAGAAAATTTTGCACAGCAAAAACCAAGGCCCGTAGATACTTGAAAATATAATCACATATAGAAGGGCCCTCAGGCTTTCAAACTTTTTTTGAAAAATTCGAATCCGTCAATTAGGAAAGCTCTGGCGCTTATTTAAACATTGGTCGAATTTTTGTACTTATAAACAATTAGAATAACTTTGTGAATATTCAATCAAATCAAATGTTTTAAAGCAGGTTTTAAAAGTTCTTGGAAAGACGCTTCTTTTAAAATAAAACAGACCGATTGATCAATTAGTTACGTAGTTATAGCCGTCATTTACACTAAATGTACTGGGACATCCTAGCTAATTTTTCGAAAAATACCTCTTTGGTATTCCGAGTACTTACCAGGTTTAAGATTACAATACTTTTCTTCATTGGCAACCTACTTTAAAACATGTTTAAAGTTATTTATGCAAGCGAGAAATTCAATAAAATCGTACGGGTGGTGGTGGTGGGGGAAGCAGAGAGCGCGGCCGCTTCGGCCTGCTCGAAATTGAATCGGCTATAACTACGTAACTAATTGATCAATCGATCTGTTTTTTTTTAAAGAAGCGTCTTTCCAAGAACTTTTAAAACCTGCTTTAAAAAATTTGATTTGATTGAATATTCACAAAGTTCTAATTGTTTATAAGTACAAAAATTCGACCAATGTTTAAACAAGCGCCAGAGCTCTCCTAATTGACGGATTCGAATTTTTCAAAAAAAGTTTGAAAGCCTGAGAGCCCTTCTATATGTGATTAAATTTTCAAGTATCTAAGGGCCTTGGTTTTTGCTGTGCAAAATTTTGAAAATTTGCAATTTTTTTTTCAAAATCTGGATTGCAAAATTATTATGCAAAATCTATCGAACCGATTTTGATGAAATTTGGTGTGATGATTCTACATAACATGAAGTTTTCTTGAGCCAAGTATAAAGGTCCTATACCCAATTTAAATACCCCAAAAAAATTCCCTAAAAAGTATTGTTTTTTAACCCCATTTTTGTGATTTTTTCGATTTTTACCATAATAATCATGATTCATTCGATTTGTAACCAGTCATGTATTGTAAAAAATTTAATTACAAACATTTTTTTCCTCTTCCACCTTCGCCTAAAATCAACTCTTAAAAAAATACAAAATTAAATAGGAAGAAAAATATGACATTTTTCCATTTTTTTAAACATATTGTGCCGCCAAAAGTTAAGCCCACGTTTTTTTTATGCACATAGAAAAATTTTCATTTCTAGTGATATTTGAAATCCAAAAAGCCAAAAATTTTCGTGGATATACGATTCACCCAAATATGGTTTTTTGAAACAGATATCGTCTGGACTATCACTTAAATTGGGGAACTGATCTCCGATATACTTAGAATTGACCATCCTTGGTTAGAGATTTGTTCCATTATTTCGAGTTTCAGTTTGATGTACAGAGGTGGAATAAGGCTTTTTGATGAATCAACAAGTGGCTCATGTTTTATATCCTAAAACCCAGCATCAAAGGCTTCACGTACCTAGTGGTTTTTTTCGATCCCAACTATCCCATTCACATAAAAAGCAAAAAGTTTTTGTGAATACCGATTGTTGGCCCAGTATTATTGTGAAGATTCTCACAAATTTACCATTTATGTTGTTCGTATTTGATCCTATGTAAAACTATCCTCCTGCATACACATTTGTATTATGCAGTAGAACAGCTTTCATGCTTCTCTTTGACGAATCAATGAGCGGTCCACTCTACTCGTTAGACATCCATTTATAACATCCATGTTTGAAGTGATTCATCCAACAATATCATTGTAGTAACCTAAGGAAAATTCTTACTGATTCTGACTGATCTTTTTCTATTAGAAAGTATTTAATAGACCTGATCGGTTCAAACGGACATCAGATTCGGATTCAACGACCCCAAAAACGTATAGATATGTAAGTTTACTTTATTTTCAATTGATTATCTACATTTGACCTTGAACTGACCTCAACCCAGATCTGATTGAGTCAAACGGACATCGGATTCGGATCCGGCGACCCCAAAAACTTATAGATATGTAGGTTTAGTTTGTTGACAATTGATTTTCTACATTTGACCTTGAACTGACCTCAACCCAGATCTGATTGAGTCAAACGGACATCGGATTCGGATCCGGCGACCCCAAAAACTTATAGATATGTAGGTTTAGTTTGTTGACAATTGATTTTCTACATTTGACCTTGAACTGACCTTAAACCAGAGCTAATCGTGTTAATCGGACACCGGACATCGGATTTAGCGACCCCAAAACTGTATGGATACCATGGTCATGTCTTTCGGACCTGCCACTTTTTTGTGGGGCTGTGTTATGTTTTGTTTGTGGTCATTATCACTTTTTTCGTATAAAAAAATATGCTTTAAGTAAAAAATTATTATTATTTGTCTGAAATAAATAATGTACTAACACCCTGTAGATGCTTTTAGAAGCTCCCTCAGAATAATTGTAAAACGATTAACATTCTGTGAATCCTGCTACGTTTTACAGATTTCTAAAAATTTTAATAAAAGTCAAAATAAGATATGCTACGTTACGAAATTTATTTCACCTTTCTCATCGTAGGTCAATGATTATCTAAGATCGTGCTTTACATTTTAACATTGTAAGTCATCCATAAAGATTATAAATTAATTATTATTACTATATCATATGCAATTATAAGCGATTTATGTATTTAAAACGTACCTACATTTTTTATAAGTTGTGGTGGAGCTTATCTGAATGCAGTACCTATTGTTATCATAAAATATATGGTCTTCAAATAATCAACAAAGTCAGTTTAATGCACCGTATTTAAATTATCCAAGCCATTAGAAATAGCATTAGTCCAGATGGATATATTCTCATAAAACCAAACAATTTAAATTAATATTTTGTAGAATGTGTTCGTCAAAACGATGAATTTATTTTTTACTGCTAATATTTGCAATAAATATTAAAACCGTAGTATTTTTGAAGAGAGAATGAACATACCTTTCAAATGAATTATCACAAGCCCTTACGTCCCATTTAAAATTTTAGGGGATGTAACTGCCATTCGAAGCGGGTTGAATTTAGGGATGAAATTTTTACGTTGCGGGATTTCATTTCAGAATCCAAAATCGACGTGACTCGAAATTTTTTATAAATATGGACAACAATTGAGATACTGAATTTAGTCCGTTTGGCTGCTCCACAATGTATATTTTTTCTACAGTCCTCTTTTAGCAGTTGTTTCAGCTAAAGAATAATAAATTTTCTTTAGTGGTAGGTACACCTGACTACCTACTTACATACATACATATTAAATGTTACTTTTCTATAAAATGCAGCTTTACAAATTCATTTCCGGATAACAAAATATCACTCGCTAACCAACCACTACCGTATTCATAATACAACAGCTATTTCGTTCATGAAATACATATTTGTATTCGTTTAATAATATGAGAAAAATGACATTAAATCAAAGATATCAATCATGAAAGCGAAGGAAAATTATTAAAATCGACGGAAAATTTAAATTAAATTTAAATTACATTTTTTGGGCGTCGCAATCTTGTCCATAAAAATGTAAATGTTTTGATCTATATAAATAATTATTTTATCATCATTATCATTACATCCACACACTGTCCATAAAAACTTACATTATTTCTCATGATTTTATTAATTTGCCCGCGTATACAGTACTTTATAGTCCTTCCGAAGTCAGTTGAATATGCAAAAAAACGTCTGGTAATAAAATTTAATGAGTTTCATAGGCGTAACTAAAAAAATTTTCTGCTAAAGGTAAAAAATTATAATAATTTGTATATAATGTGTAGAAAATTTCTATTATATGTTCATTTGGCCAATAACATATTTTAATGATTTATGGCCTCAAACAATTTTATTATATTGGTGGTAAATTTCGTTTTGTTCCGTTTCAAAAAGGTCTCCAAAATGCCATGTTGTGATAATATTAGTAAACAAAGTATCCCTCTTTTTTCTCCCTTTCATAATAATTGTAATATGAATGATTGATAGAAAGTGCCTATAATAAATTAAAATTGCCTGATTCACACCAAATTCCGCACTGCTTCACTGCACTGCTGGGCAATTTATGAACCACTTGTCACCTGCTGTGATTTATTGCCCAGAAGCCCAATACGACTGTGCTCGTTTTCTTTTGGCCACGCTCGCATTCTTCAACAGAGCGTATACATTTCTATCTCCACGTTTAGTTCGACCAGACCTGTTTATGGGTATGGCTAATTAAATATGGGAACAAGTTTTTCAAATATTTCAATGCCGAGTTGCTGCTTAGCGACCGAACCTGGTAGATACTTTGAAATTATTGGTTCTTCAATTGACTTCGGAAAAACTATACCTTTCATATTCCATGTAATCTGCAAACATTTTAGTTTCGTTTTACAAAACAATTTAATTATTTCGCATTGCAGAGTGGATTCGATTTCAGAAAATTATGGGCTTTCACTGGTCCCGGGTTCCTTATGTCCATAGCCTACTTAGATCCGGGGAACATAGAGAGTGATTTACAGTCTGGAACAATAGCAAATTATAGGCTACTCTGGGTATTATTTGGGTCAACAATTCTAGGACTGATAGTACAAACTCTCGCCACAAAGCTAGGTAAGATTTTCGTTATATTGTTAAAAGCAATAGGGGCAACTGTATACACATTACTTTTTACACTATATTAAGAAAAAATTAAAAAATGTATTTCTAAAATAACTTCTCAGATATTTATTCTATATACAGGGTGTTTCAAAAAGGTTTTGCCAAATTTGAGGGGGATATAGAGGACATTGTGGCAGAAAATGTTTGCACAGAAACCCTTAGTCAGAAATGAACCACTGTAGTCCTGGAGCAATTTTTGTCCACCCTGTACAGAATGTTAAAAAGTGGAAAAAAATTAAAAGTTAATAAAAAATATCTAATTTTTTTTAAAATTTTGTCAAGTAAAGTCGATTTATGTGCTCCTGTACCAAAAATATAGGTCTCCAAAAAAGATATTTAATTCTACAGACAAAATTTTTATCTGTTAATATTGCGGGAAACCACTACTCTATGGGCTATATACCCCAACCACCACTAAATTACACCAGCAATAACTGGTGATTAGCTGATGTACCTATCTAAATATTAAATTATATTTTGACATACCAATCTTATTGTTAGTGTTTATTTTGGGTAATTATTTATTACTAGCTATTTACTAGATATTGTTATTGTAATTCAATGCTAATTGAGGCATAGTCTAGAGTAGTTGTTTCCTGTAATATAATCTGTTAGAAATCTTGTCTGTAGAACTAGATATCTTTCGCTTATCTAGATTTATGGTATCGAAGACTGAATTTCATTTGAAAATACTTTTTTAGAATTCGTTTTAATTGCTTGAATTAGCATAATATCTTTATAGTAAAGTAAAAATGCGAGAGCTAATACTAGCGCATATGTTCCTAAAAAAGTGTTAAAGATAAGAAATATGTTTTTGTTTATATCTTTCAAATGGTTTGACTAAAGTCAACAAAGTGTTACCTAGTAAGTCAGGATAACTTGAATATGGCAGAGATTCAGGAATACTAGTGATAAACTTGACAAGACGAAACAAGTCGATGTTATCTATACCGACTTAGAGACATCAATAACGCTTTTGACAGACTTAACCGTGACCTCTTGTTGTACAAGGTTTGGTGCTTCTGAATCACTGCTGTAACTTTTTCATTTATGTTTACAAAACAGTTATCAATTTGATCAATGTCGTGGCTCTAAGTCTCAGAAGTTTCATCAAATATCTGGCGTGCCTCACGATTCTACACTAGGACCCTTATTCTTTTTCTGTTTATAAACGACTTTATGGAGAATACACTTGATGTTATTGGCGTGGTGTGAAATTAATAATTTATATAAAATTCTTAAATTCTAAATTCCTCCAAGTGTAATATCGTTACATTCACTAAAAAGAAAAGTTCTGTTCTGTTTGATTGTAAACTAGGTAATATAATATTGCACAGACTTGATTACATAAAATACCTTGAAGGTACATTTGATGCGACATTACCTTTTACAAAGTAGACCTATAGACATAATTTCATCAGGGGTTTCGGCAGGATTTATTACAGTCAAAGTTTCATGGCGTGACCCAGTTGAAATGCTAACCTCTTCTGCAATTTCTGTGACAGTAAATCGGTCATTTGCACAAACCAGATCTTTGATTTTCTGGACGTGTACGTTGAAGGCCTTCCTAGTCGAGGATCATCTTCAATTGACTGGCATCCACCTTTTAAATTTTCTATAAATTAAAAAAAGTTATTTTGACAAATATTGTCCTTTATGAATTTTCTGATTACAAACATTTTCAAATAATACGGTTTTAAATGGTATTGGAAAATACTTTTTCCAATAAAAAAATCGTCTAATTTGTGGCAAATCGCTAAATTTGGTAGCGACCTCTAGCGAATAACGAGAAATCATTAAACTTAAAGAATTCTACCTAAAAAATTGGCGCAGAAATCGCTAATAGTTATACCACATGCCAACAGACATTTAGTGATTATCTTAATTTTTTCTTCACTACAAAGATTTTTGAGAAATTAATTCAATTTTTTTGCTTTTACGTCATTCTTCATAGTTCAAAAAAAACTTGCATTTATCTTTGAAAAGACCATTCAGAAGGTCTGACAGTTGTTTAGCTTCCTTCTATTTTAGTATGCTGAACCTTTAGACTCCAAACAAGAACACTTAAAGAAACAATTACACATTATCATTTCCGAAGGAATTCCGTGCGCTGAATACGATCATGTAGTTAAAAAACATGACTTGCCTATGAATTTCGGAGAAAAGTGAAATTTTTGAGTAAAAACTGGCCCAAGTTTTAAAAAACACTGTATATAACACCAAAATTAGTAGATTGAGAGCAAAAGTCCACACCCCATAAATAATTAAAATCGAATGATACGTGTACTCGAGTTATTTACAAAATTCAAAAAATTTTCACGAAATTTGAGGCCATCTAGCGGCCAAACGAAGCGATTTTGGATATAGGTGAATTAGCCTAAATGTGCCTATTTTGAGTCCACGAATCTATGGTCATAATTTTTATTATTGAAATAAAATATTTAGTGTCTACCTGACAGTACCGTAGTAGGTAATTTTAATATGTTTGAATTAGAATATTACGTGGTATGACATTAAAAGTAGAAAATAGGTATTTTAGATAGGTAATAGGTTTTGTACTTGGAGTTAATATTAATATAAACTTGAAGAGTAATTAAAATTCCTTGTTGTAAGTTCCTGTTTACTGACGTAATCCTTAGAGAAGAAAATGTTTAAAATAGCGTTTTTTTCGAACAAAAAATCGTTAATATCTCGAAAAAGGTGAGATTTTAGAGAAAAGTTGCACATGAACATTTTTGTTCAGGATACCCCAAAAAGCCTATAAAAATGTATTTCGAGCGAAAAAATCGAAAATCACGAATTTGTTTAAAAAAAATTGTTTAAACAATTTTTGACCATTAGTAACGTCTGGCAACATGTGGATATGATTCAAGGGTCATTTTTTTAGTAAGATTATGAAAAAAAATTCGAATGAGAATCATGTTCCTAGCGGGAGCAACGATATAGCCTGGACTAATACTTATACATATTATAAAACATACCTACATTATAATATACAAAATATATAATAACATAATATATAGTATTCATTACAGATTTCTCCATTATTATAAGTTTATTTTTTGAATATTCCTAAAATTTTGGTTTATAGTTGTTTTTTTAATCTTACTCTTTGAGAAATTCTAGGACCCTACTGTTCAAAACCCTTCACAGAACAAGTACGATCTCTTCGAAATCGCTATGTTTTAATTCAGTTCCAATCGAAACAATTCCAGAGTTCCGTTAATAAACGATTCGCGAAGAAGGGGAAGATTTGCAATTTAGGGCGAAATTATTACAAAGCTGCAGCATCCAATAAGAAGTTCCCAACTTTATAATCTGCACGTCTTTCATCCGACATAATATCATAAAGGGTTTACAAGAATCTTATGCTAATGAGAAACTTTTAACTTTTATTAGGAGTCGTAACGGGGCTGCATCTGGCCGAGATGTGCCACAGACAGTATAAGAAAGTGCCCAGGATAATTCTGTGGGTTATGGTGGAGATAGCCGTCATCGGATCGGATATGCAGGAAGTTATCGGGACAGCCATCGCTCTATACCTGCTCTCTAATAAACTGTAAGTAAACTTTACGGATCGAAAGATGACGTATACAAAGAAAAATTTCTAATATTTTCATGCAATAATAGGGGCTCTGGTCTAAAATGGCATACCACTTTTAAAAATTGCCATACTATTTTTTTGAGATAAGTATTTTTAAAATGAAATGCTTTAGATAGTCTACTTAACTGGTTTTTATGAAATTATGTTAAATCAGATATTAATGAAAACATTTTTTTTAAATTTAATTTAAGCGGTGGTGGTGTGGTATTATTCATTTTACCCCACGAATGGGGGTAAAATGGCATACAATCATAAAAGCTAAGATAAATTTTGAAAAATTTATTAATTTTAATGAATTGATAAATAGATGCAACAGTATTTGTTTCTTAAGTAAACATAAACTCTAAAACTTTAAATGTAGAAAAAAATATGATTCTGTAAGTATAAGGAAAAAGCAAAATGGCATTTGCTAGGCCAGGAAAATAAGCTGGGAAATGATAATTTCCCGACTTTTTGTTTCGGCAAGCTGAATTTATCACTATAGATGCTAAATATTATGTACAATAACATATTAGTTTCCACAGTCATAAAAATGGGGGAAGATTGTTTACAGGGCGGTTAATTGTATAATTTTTACATAAATTCAGGTTTTTCGCTTATATTTTTTTTCCGTTCATTTCCACAAGAAACCAGTAAAGTACTTTTTCTTTCGTCTTCAAAAGACCTACAAAACTAACCCTCGAGCGTCAAAAAATATTGATTAGATCAAAAGTTATGAACAGAAGAAGTTTATTTATGACTCTTGAATTAAACATTTATAAACTGCGTTAATATTACCAGAACGTTTTATTATCGCATGCTCTCATTCCTTATCACTGTCTAATAACTCACACGAAATCTGGAATCGGTAAGTTGAATGGTTTACAAGTTATGGCCTTATAAATAAATTAACTAATTATTAGTCTGGACAATCGCGAGGATCTTCCACAATCGCACTGATTTTTTCAAGGTAGATTTCATAATAATACGTTGAAATTTATTAATTTTTTTTAATTTCAAATTTGCGACTTGGATTTTTTTTTATTTTTTAGCCTTAATTGCAAAATGAAATACACGACGCGCGAGCGTGATATAGTTATATACAGGGTAGCCCATCGAAAACGTACCGCAACGCATTACAGGGTAGTAAAGAACTTTTCGGCAAAATCCAAAAACAGGTCAAATTTGTTTCTGAAGGGGACAACTTTTGGCTCAAAAAGCATACCAAAATCCTCAACCCCCTAAGTGGGGGTGCTATCCCCTAAATTTTTTCAAATGGGAATGGGGGTCAAGTGGGGGGTCTTTTGAAAATACGAACAATATTTTTGACGAGAAATGCGAAAATCGATTTAATTTTACTTCAAAACTTACGGTATTAGCCAAGTAAATGCTGAAAATGTTGTCCGCCAACTTGCATACAATGATACAGGTTGTCTTCAAACATTCTGGAGCACTGCGGTGTTACTTCGCGACATACATTAATGATTCGTTCTCGCAGATCTTCCAAGATATCAGATGGAGTGCTGTAAACTTTGCTTTTAATGTGCCTCCAGAGAAAGAAATCTAAAGGATTTAAGTCGGGTGACCGAGGGGGCCACTCGATTGCACCTCTTCGTCCTATCCAGCGTCCTGGAAACGTCTCATTTAGGTAATTGCGCACATTGAGCGAGTAATGTGGAGGAGCTCCGTCTTGCTGGAAAATCAGTTCGTGTTCATTGTAAGCAGGGTCGTCCTCTATGATATTTGTTAGAGCTGGGTCGATGACATTTTGTAGTAAATCCAAGTACATATCGCCTGTCAAATTTCCAGGAAGGAAAAAAGGACCTACAATGGAATTTCCAAAAATACCTGCCCATACATTCAACTTCTGGGGGTGTTGGGAGTGTGTCTCATGGAAAATCCTTGGATTGGTATCAGCCCAGTAACGACAATTATGGCGATTCACTAAACCATTCAAGAAGAACGTACACTCGTCCGAAAAACACACATTAAAGAGGAAATTATCGTTTATCGCTCGTTCAGTCATTATTTCGCAAAATTGCAAACGACGATCAAAATCGTCTTCATTTAGCTCTTGCACTAGCCGAATCTTATAAGGATGGAATTTGTATTTTTTTAATATTCGTTGGACACTTGTACGACTCACTCCTGTCGCAGTAGCCAATTGCATTGTACTCAGCGTACTATCCATTGCCACTTGCCCCAATACCGCTATTTCCGTAGGTTCATTTAGTACCGGATTTTCAACCTGCCTCTTTTTGTTATGAACGGAGCCAGTTTCGCGAAATTTGGCCACCAATTCGCGAACAATTTTTCCAGACGCATGTTTCTCAGGATGCCGTTGGTTGAACAGTTCGGCGACCCGATTTCCGCATTCATTGTTTTTGAAAAAAAGCTCAATAATTTCTACTCTTTCTGGAATTGAGTACACCATAATTAATCAATTTAAAAGACTCGGCAGTATTGGTACTCTTCAACTACAAGTCACAAGACAGTTATCTAGCAACTTCTTGTGGCCTATCTAAATACGAAACAAAAAGCGGACAATTTTTTGCTCACCAAAATCAGGCTAAAGAATTCGCAAATCAAAAAAAAAAACAGCGAATTCTTTTGAAGGAATTTACCAAGCTAATACCGTAAGTTTTGAAGTAAAATTAAATCGATTTTCGCATTTCTCGTCAAAAATATTGTTCGTATTTTCAAAGCTGCATATTTTCTAAAATAATGGATCGATTTTCAAAAAGTAAGAATCGATGTATAGAGAATTAAAAGCCCTTTCTAATGACCCCCCACTTGACCCCCATTCCCATTTAAAAAAATTTGGGAGATGGCACCCCCACTTAGGGGGTTGAAGATTTTGCTATGCTTTTTGCGCCAAAAGTTGTCCCCCTCAGAAGCAAACTTTACCTGTTTTTGAATTTTGCCGAAAAGTCCATTACTACCCTGTAATGCCTTGCGGTACGTTTTCGATGGGCTACCCTGTATTGTTACATATTCGGAAAGCTTATTAAAAGAGCTTTAAGTTAAAAAAAAATCGTCAAGATTCGTTGAAAAACAACGGAGTTACAGACTGTCAAAATTAACGGCCGATTGTTAAACAAATTAGGTTGGTAGCGGTAAAAAAATACTGTCATAACTGGCAACCCGAGTACTTTCCCAGGTAAAAATATTTTATTTGTGGAAGTATATTAAGTGCATAAGAAATATTGTCAAAAGTCAGTGGGTCGCTTGATTTTCGTCGAGCCGTGGCGAGGCGGAAGGGTGGGGGCAGCGGACGACAGCGAGTCCGAAGAAAAGGACGATAATATTCATAGTCCTGCCGTTAAATAAGGGAAATTCCCTTGAAAATATATTATTCGACAGTCTGTACCTCCGTTGTTTTATAACGTATCTTGACGATTTTATTTTAACTTAATGTTTTTTTCATCCGCGTTCCGAATATGTAATAATAGATAATATATCACGCTCGTGCGTCGTATATTTCATTTTGCAACTAAGTTTAAAAAATAAAAAAAATCAGGTTATAAATTTGAAATTAGAAAAATAATAGATTTCAATGTATTATTATGAAATCTAAAATGAAAAAAATCAGTGCGATTGTGGAAGATCCTCTGGTTCGTACAGACTAATAATTAGTTCATTTGTTTATAAGGCCATAACTTGTAAACTATTCAACTTACCGATTCCAGATTGCGTGTGAGTTATTAGACAGGGATAAGGAATAAGAGGATGCAATGCCAAAACATCCTGGTAATAATAACGCAGTTTATAAATGTTTAATTCAAAAGTCATAAATTAACTTCTTCTGTTTATAACTTTTGATCTAATCAATATTTTTTGACGCTCAAGGGCTAGTTTTGTAGGTTTTTTGAAGACGAAAAAAAAGTTCATTACTGTTTTCTCGTGGAAATGAACGGAACAAAGTTATAAGCGAAAAACGTTAATTTACGTAAAAATTATACAATTAACCACCCTGTAAACAATCTTCCCCCCATTTTTATGACTGTGGAAACTAATATGTTATTGTACATAATATTTAGCATTTATAGTGATAAATTCAGCTTGCCGAAACAAAAAGTCGCGTACAACTCTATAATTTCCTGAACTATACAAGCATCACATATACAGGCTGTTACAAATTCGCTTCTCACTACAGGGATCTTGGAAACTGTAAGATATACGAACTAGCTTAAATGAGGGCAAAGTTGCATAATCAAGGGATCAACATTATGCTTCTAAAAATTCAAAGCTAACATGATTAGTTTTCAAAATATTTGAAAAAAAAACGAAATTTTGGAAATCCGTTTTTGTTTCATTTAAGCCTTGTTTGAGGTGATATTGAAAAAAGAAGAACACTTTCTCATGGCAACTTTTTGCCCTCTATCGAATGACATAATCAATTTTTATATATAACGTTTGGTCTTTCCAGGACCATCATCGATTTCATTTCTTTAAATACCGACTTGGAAATTTTATTACATTTTTTGCAGACCTTCATGACCCCCAATACAGTATTGCCTCAGCCTGAACCAGATTCAGACGGTTTATCTCGAAAAATTCATATTCAATGTATTCGTTCCTTTATCTAGATTTATGTGTTTATTGAATTATCGTACACTCTAACACACGAATTCATCAACGAGGCGTAACGTTAGTTTGACTAACGGAAGTTGTGTAAAAATTTTGCGCCCGTATTGCGCGAATTTAAATAAAAAGCGTAGTCCCATTCACAAAAAGTGCGCGAAGAAGGCGCAACTAATAGTTGCCACGTCTATTGTCTTGTGGTTAAACTATTATGAAGCACTAGAAATGCTTATAATAATATATTGCAATTAAAAAAATAAAATGCAATGAACTTAATAAACTACACCTTAAGTTGCCCGATTTTATGCATGTCTTGGAGAAGGTCTAAATTTTGACGTAAATATTAGCGCAAGTAAAAGGCGCAAGGGAAGTGAATACGTTTACACGGGCGC